GGCCCAGCTCTGGCTGTTGCGGCCATTTGGAGAGTGACCCAGTGGATGGAAGACGTCTCTCTCTCTCTCTCTCTCTTTCTCTCCCTTCCCTCTCTCCCCCTCTCCCCCTCTCCCCCTCTCCTCTTCTTCCTCTTCCTCTCCCTTCCTTCTGCCTTCTACCTCTTTGTAACTCTGCCTTTCAAATACATAAAGATGCAAGAAAAAAGTGTCAGGTCACTTACAAGGAAATCCACAGTAGACGAATGGCCGACTCCTCAGCTGCAATCTCACAGTGCAGAAGACATTGGGATAAAATATTTCAAGTTCTAAAAGAAATAAAAAGCCATTCAAGAATATCGCCACCAACAAGACTATCTTTCAGAAATAAGGGAGGGAAAAAAAAAAGATTTTCCACAACAAGAAGAAACTAAAGGAATTCAGCACCACCAGACTGGCCCTTCTAGAAATACTTAAGGGAGTCCAACATTAGAAAATGTGCAAAAGTACAAATATCAACAGTGCCGCAGACACACGGAAGAGAAAAAGAGAGCTCTAGCGACACATTTGATTTTTACTTTTTTCTGGATTTTACTTGCTGTTTATTTAGTTAAGTGTTTTTCACTATATTGATTAGAAATATAATTGTAATTTTTTCCTTCTACCCATTATTTTGAAATCAGGGTTATGTTGGTCCCTTAAAATGAACCGGGAAGCATTTGACCCTTCTCTATTTTCTGAAATAATGTGTTTTTATGCTATTATTTTTTCTTTAAATCCTTAGTAGAATTAACTAGTAGAAGTATTTAGGCCTTTAGTTATCCCCAGGGGAAGATTTTTAAAATGAATTTAGTTTCTTAAATACATGTGGGACTAAGCCATTGTAATCCATAAGCTGTACTTTGGAAATTATATTCATTAAATAAAAGTTAAAAAAAAAAGAACCCATCTGATTAGAGTGAAATCTACAATGCAAAAAAAAAATACATATGGGACTATTGAAAATATTCTTGCTTTCCATGTCTGTTTTCTGAATTTGTGTTTTGAAGAAGTATGTACATTTCACATAAACTGCCAAAATTGTTGGCATAAAATTGTTTAATATCTTTAAAAAGATTAAAAATCGAGCTATTGTTTAATTTACCAACCCCACTACTGGGCATAAATCCAGAGGAAATTAAATAAATCTGTTGGAGAGACATATGCACTCTCATTTTTATTGAAGACTATTCAGGATAGCTAACATGTGGAATCAACTTAAGTGTCCATCAACAGTTGAAGGAATAAAGAAAATGTGAGATATAGGTACATAGAGGAATGCCATTCATCCACAAAAAAATTAAATCCTGTCATTTGCAACAAAGTAGAAGGACCTGAAGACATCATGTTAGGTGAAATCAGCTAGGCACAGCAAGGCCAGGGGGATGATGGGAATGGCAGAGTCCAGTCAATGCATACAGTGTTGCAGTTAGGAGGAGCGCACAGGGTGACTGTATAATGTATTGTGTATTAGAAAATAGCTAGAAGGGAGGGTTTTTTTTTTTAATACTCTCACCATAAAGAAGTGATAAATGGCATGATTAATATGCTAATCAGTTATCCTAATTTGATCATATACAATGTATACATGTATCAAAACATGACATTGTACCCATATATGTATATAATTATGTGTCAATCAAAAACAAACAAAAAAGGAACTCACAGACTTTAACGTACTTAATTCCCATCTATTGCCACATTATCCTTATTGGTGCTGAAATGGCCCCATCTGGTCAGTGGAAGCGCCTCAAGTCGGTTCTTGAGTCCTTTTTGCACGCTCCCAGAGATCTCAGCCTCTTTGCTCACTGATCTGACAAATGTTGCACCCTCATTTGTATACAGCCTATTTCCAATTCATGATGATTTGGCTTATGGTATTTTTACTTGACAATATTGTGAAAGTGCACCCATATACACATTCTGTTTTTCACTTCCAGTACAGTGTTCAGTAAATTGCATCAGATATTAAACATTTCATCGGCTCTGTGTTAGGTGGCTTTGTCTCACTGTAGGCTAATGCAGGCATTCTGAGCACATTTGAGGAAGGGTGGGTGTATTAAATGCATTTTCAACTTTACAATAGTGTCAACTTATGATGGGTTTACTGGAACATAACTGCATGGTTAGCTGAGAGGCATCTGTGTTTCCCTCCTTGGACCTGGAAGCAGACAGTTCTTAAAGGAGTTCTGATTCCTTTTAGTAAAATAGGCTCTGAAGAGACCACAATCTTGAGTTTTAGGGGTGTCCTCATTGTCTCATTCTGCCAAAGAGAAACTTTAAGAAAATTAGAAAATTGCTTATTGTATTTTTCCTTGTTTGTGATTTGTATGTTATACTTTTTTTTTTTTTGCAGGCAGAGTGAACAGTGAGAGAGAGAGACAGAAAGGTCTTCCTTTACCATTGGTTCACCCCCCAATGGCTGCTGCAGCCGGCGCGCTGCGGCCAGCGCATTGCGTTGATCTGAAGGCAGGAGCCAGGTGCTTCTCCTGGTCTCCCATGGGGTGCAGGGCCCAAGGACTTGGGCCATCCTCCACTGCACTCCTGGGCCACAGCAGAGAGCTGGACTGGAAGAGGAGCAGCCAGGACAGAAAAGCAGTGGAAGATGGCCTATATGCTTAGACCCCTGCCATCCAGTTAGCAGACCCAGATGAAGCTCCTGGCTCCTGGCTATTGGCTTCAGCCTGCTTCAGCTCTGGCTGTTGTGGCCATCTAGGGGAGTGAACCAGGAGATGGAAGATTCTCTTTCCCTCTGTGTAACTCTGCCTTTCAATTAAATAAGTACAATTGTTTATAAAAGAGGTGGAAAGAGAGAGAAGGAACCCTCTGCCTTTAAGCTCATAGCTTCTTTACAGTCCTAGATTCCTCTGGGACAGATGAACCCTGTGTGGGTTGATGGAGACGGGGTAAATGTTTGACTGGGCTCTGGGCTCCTGGGTCACGGAGGCGTGGAGAGTAGGTCAGGAATCTGCACAGAACTGCACACATGTGTGTTGATGGACACACAGGGAAAGAGAGCTGCCGAGAACAAAGCTCACCAGACACGTGAATTGCAAAAAGTAGTTATTGTTGACACCTTGTAGACGTGGATCATTTGTTATACGCCGGTAGGAATTTTCCTTTTTAGCTTCAGCCATAAGCTGGGGATGCAAAGATGGTTTCCTGTCCCCTTCCTCCGAAAGGTGCTTCTGGCCTGGTGTCGTGGTGTCGACAACATGTGCAAGTACATGCCCAGAGGTGCAGTGTGGCTGCTGTCACAAAGAGGAAGTGATTGGTGGCCTGCAGACGCTGCGGAGGTGACGCTGGGAAGGACCGGGAGGCAATGTAGCACTGGTCACGCCCACTGCAGAGCGTGGCCAAGAACGGTTCTCACTGCAGGTCACTCTCGTAGCCAGGTCACGAGGACGATGGCCTTGAAACGCAGGCCAGGGCCCTCTGTTAGTTTTCCGTGCTGTGATGTGAAACAAGTGGACCCTAATATGGGAGTTTACAACAGCATCCGTTTACTGCCTCACAAGCTGTATGTCCTAAGTCCGGCGAGCCTTCATGGTGCCACAATGCTGCAAGAGCGGTATCAGGGGCCGGCGCCGTGGCTCACTTGGTTAATCCTCCGCCTGCAGCACCGGCATCCCATATGGGCGCCAGGTTCTAGTCCCGGCTGCTCCTCTTCCAGGCCAGCTCTCTGCTGTGGCCCTGGAAGGCAGTGGAGGATGGCCCAAGTGCTTGGGCCCTGCACCCGCATGGGAGACCAGAAGTACCTGGCTCCAGGCTTCGGATCAGCATGGTGCGCTGGCTGCAGCGGTCCACCAGAGCGGCCACTGGGGGGTGAACCAACGGAAAAGGAAGACCTTTCTCTCTGTCTCTCTCTCTCTCTCACTGTCTATAACTCTACCTGTCAAATAAAATTTAAAAAAAAAAAAAAAGTGGTGTCAGCAGGGCTGGGTTCCTTTCTGGAGGCTGCTGGGGAGCCTCTGCTCTCTCTCACGATTATTCAGGTTCCGAGCAGAGCTGAGCTCCCCGGGATTGGTTTCCTCCATCTCCGGGGCAGCCGCATGCATCCGGTCCAGGCACGCTGCACCTGCACAGGCTTCCATGGCTCTCTCCTCCCCTTCTACCTTCCCAGGCGGCTGTTAAGTGCTCCAGTGACTCCATTGAGTCAATTTAGCTAACCCAGGGTGACCTCCCGATTTTAAGGTCATCTAATTAGTGACCAGAATTACATCTGCAAATTCTCATTTGCATGTTAAGTGACTGATGCTCCCAAGAACATAGGGATGGAATCTTTCAGGGGAGACCCTAATTCTGCCTACCCCCCCGGATCTGCCCCCAACCCTGCCAGACATCATCAGAATCCTGAGGAACCACTGCGGGCGACTCCTCGCCTCCTGCCTGGTGTTGGGGCCCTTCATGGCTGCCGCAGGCCTAAGACTCCCCACCCAGTGAGGCTAGCTGGTTCCAGGAGCCGGGAGCCGCCTCTGCAGGCCAAGGCTGACCCAAGAGTTGGCCTGCGCCTGGTTATCATCTCTACTGTTTCAACTCATAACCAATGATTTTTTTTTTTTACAAAAATCAGGAACAACTTCATAAAAATCCAGATTTCCACTTTCTCTTGAAAAACTCAGCAGCTGTAGCAACCCAGACTTCGAGGTCAGGCTGGAACTGGGAGCCCACTCCCTGGGGGTATCTGGCCCCAGGAGCCTCCCTTGCAGGGGAAGAAACCGGGATTTGCTGGCCCCCACCAACGGCAGCCTCTGCACGTATATTAGCTCATTTAGTTCTCCAAGCAAGCCTGGGAGGGACCTAGGTATTCTTCCACGGATCGGACAGCTGGGCAGAGCCCTGCGCGCAGGGCGCACGGCCGCGGGCCCTGGCAAGGGTGGCCTCTACCCGAGCCGCCGCCCGTCCGTCCTCCCGCGCGCTTCCCCCTGGGCCCCTTGCACGTCCCTCTCCCGCCCCCGCCGGATCCACTTCCCCGCCCCCGGCCCCGCGCGCGCCGGGAAGGGGCCGTAGCCGGGGAGCCCGCCGAGCCACCGCCCCGTCCTCCGCCCTCGGCGCCCTCGGGGCTGCAGCTGCCGGCCAGCTGGAGTCACGTGAAGGGCGGAGGGCAGCGCACCGCGGCCGGGTCTCCCGCGGGCCCCAGCGGGGCAGAGTCCGCCGCGGCGGCCTCGACGCTCGCTTGCTCTTGAGCCGCAGCCGCGAGGCCCGGGGACGACCGCGCCGCCGGGATGCGCGGCCCGCGGCCGGAGCCCGCCGAGGAGCCGCCCGACCGGGAGGTAAGGGTCCACGGCCGCCGCGCTCCGAAGGCACCCGACGGCAGGGTCTGCTCTCCCCGAGCCGGAGGTCTCCGGCGAGAAGGCAACCCGCTGGAGGCCAGGCCCGGTAGGGGGCAGGCGGGCCGAGGAGCGCCGCCGCCCCGGGGGCTTCCTGCGTGCTCTGCGCCCTTTGGCCCTGGCGCTCTCGGGCCGCTCGGCGGGGAAGCGCGCAGCCCGGGACGGTGCACCCTTTGGGGACCTGTGAAGCCAATGCCTCGCGAGCCGCGCCCCGGTTTTGAGTGCCGCCCGGCGAGGGGCGCCCCGCGCGTGGTGGTCGCTGCACACTGAGGGTCCCCCAGGCCGGGATTGCTGATGGCACTGGGCCCTCGCGGCGCCGGTGGGTCAGTGCAGCGGGATGCATAGTCGTCCCTATCCGACGCACCCTGACAGACTGAGCGGGCCTGGGGTGCGGGTTTCTCTCCCTGGAGAGAGCTCGGGGAGTGGAGACTGGGAGGACTCCAAAGGCAGGAGGCCTAGCTGTACCTCCTCGGGCCGTCTAACCTGTGAGTGACAAGCTGGGAGCCCCATCCTCCAGCGAGCCTCAGTTTCCCCCTCTGTCGGGTGGGGGGCCCGTGGGGGGCAGTGCTGGTCTGACCCGCGGTGGAGGCAGGCTCCAAGGCCCATGCAGGTGCTCTCGGGCGTGCTGCGCGTCCTTTGGGCGGTACAGGGTGTGGGAGAGGTGATGGGGGTCCGAGTCCCTTCTCTTTCTTGAGCTGCCCCTTGCAGCTGGGCTGCTGTAGCATCACCACCGAGAGGGTCCCTGCCCCGTGCATGTGCCCCCCTCCCCGCCCGCCCCGCCCTGCTGGGCTCCCTAAGAGGCGTGGCCTCTTTCAGCAGGTGGCTTCTACCAGGCCCCCATCCCTTCAGAGAGCAGGTGAAGGAGGAGGAGAAGGTGTCTCGGGCCCCAGCCTGACCCGAGCCAGGCCTTGCCCCCGCCGTGGGCCAGATGACAGGCCTGCCTGTGGCTGCCGGTCTTGTGTGTGAGCGAATAGCTTTAGTTTGAGACTGTTGATGGCCTCCCTCTACGTCCTTCATGCTTCCTGTCTGAATAAGAGAATGCAAACAACTAAGATCTACAAGGGACACAAGGACCTCAGTTGGCCCTGTGCTCTGGCTGATTGCGGTGAGCGTCGTTTGGCAGAAACATGGGTGTCGGAGTCAAATGTTTCGTCTCCCAGTGTCTTTCAGAGTCCTCTCCCAGGGGAGCGGGCCTGGAAGGCGAGGAGCCTGGGACCAGTGGATAACTCCCAGCAGAGCCCCTTGAATTCTGGGAGCAACCTTGATTGAGTCACTAGACCAGGGACAGCTTCTATACTCCCTTCCCTCCCCAGTCTGTGGCCTCCGGCACTGATGGCCTCGGTGAACTTTGCTTAAAAGTTAGCTCCGGGTCACGTGACAAGAGACTGACATGTCACCTGAGACGCATTGACAGCCTCTCCTTAGAGCTGTTTTCTGCCGAGAGTTGCTTTGAGCAGTGACTAAGGTGGCATCTACTCCTTTGATGAATTCACTGACACTTTCAGCTTTCACAAGGAAATTAACCGAATGTTGGGGCTGGCGCTGTGGCATAGCGGGTAAAGCCACCACTGGCAGTGCCAGCATCCCTTATTGGCACCAGTTCGAGTCCCAGCTGCTTCCCTTCCATCCAGCTCGCTACTGATGTGCCTGGCAAAGCAATGATGGTCCAAGTCCTTGGGCCCCTGCACCCACGTGGGAGTCCTGGATACATCTCCTGGCTCCAGGCTCCAGCCTGGCCCAGCTCTGGCTGTTGTGGCCACTTGGGAAGTGAACCAGCAAATGGAAGATCTCTCTCTCTCTGCCTCTGCCTCTCCTTCTCTCTAACTCTGACTGTCAAGTGAGTAAATGAATCTTAAAAAGGAAAAGAAAAGAAGCTAACCCAATGCTAGTGATTCCCAACTTTACTATGAGAATTAGCAGGGAGCTTTCAGGAATGTACCCACTTCAGCCCCTACCCGAGATACGGTCTGGGCACCCTTACGGCTCTGGGGGGATTTGGAAGTGCGGCTGTAAGACAGCAGTGATGGCTCAAGAGGTTGAGTTTCTGCCCCCAGGTGGGAAACCCAAGTCGAGTTGCCAGCTCCTGGCTTCAGCCTGGCCTGGTCTTGGCTGTTGAGGGCATTTGGGGAGTGCACCAGCAGATAGGAGCTCATTCTGGGGGAAAATAAAACAAAACAATACACGTGGCCAGAGCTGCAAGACTGAACCCTCTGCTGTTTCTTTGTGACCGTTTCATGGGGTCACCTCTTGATACCTTATGCACTTCTGTTGGAATGTTGTTATTCTTTTTTTCAAATGTTATTTCTTTATTATTATTATTTTTTTTGACAGGCAGAGCGGACAGTGAGAGAGAGAGACAGAGAGAAAGGTCTTCCTTTGCCGTTGGTTCACCCTTCAATGGCCGCCGCGGCTGGTGCGCTGCGGCCGGCGCACCGCGCTGATCCGATGGCAGGAGCTAGGTACTTATCCTGGTCTCCCATGGGGTGCAGGGCCCAAGCACTTGGGCCATCCTCCACTGCACTCCCTGGCCACAGCAGAGAGCTGGCCTGGAAGAGGGGCAACCGGGACAGAATCCGGCGCCCCGACCGGGACTATAACCCGGTGTGCCGGCGCCGCAAGGCAGAGGATTAGCCTAGTGAGCCGCCGCGCCGGCTTCAAATGTTCTTTATTAAGAGACAGAGAGTGAGCTAACTAGAGAGAGCGAGCACTCACTCCCATCAGGTGGTTCACTTCCCAAATGCCCACAGTGTCTGAGGGATCCAAAGATGGGGGCCAGGAACTCAAGCCGGGTGTCCCACGTGGGCGGCAGGATCCCCACTACATGAGCCCTCACTGCTGCCTCGCGAATCTGCATTGGCAGGAAGCTGGAGGCCGGACTTGGAGATGGGCACTGTTGTGGGATGTGGGCATCCTAACCAGCAGCTGAACTGCAAAGCCAGAGACACGCCCCTGGATGTTCTTATTCTTTTCAGAAAACATTATTCATTTTATTTATTGAGGAGGCAGAAAGAGAGAATCCATCCCTTTGTTCACTCCCTAAATGCCTGCAGAGGCAGTCAGAGCTGGGACAGACCGAAGCCAGGAGCCTGGAACTCACTTCGAGTTTCCCGTGTGTGTGGCAGGGACCCAACTACTTGAGTCATCACCTGCTGCCTCCAGGGGTGCGCGTTAGCAGGAAGCTGGAATAGGAAGCAGAGCCAGGACCTGAATGTAAGCACTCTGATATGAGTTGTGGGTGCCCCAAACAGTGGCTTAGCATCTGCACCAGACACCTGCCCCTGGATGTTATTCTTCAACCTGCTCCTGAAGGTCTTCCATTACCTTGCCTTTGGACTGTTTGTCTCCTGTAGCTTCGTTTAATGATTTGCAGAGAAACTCTTTGCATAGCAGGATGGCTGTAAGCAGGAGGGCTCAGGAGAGTGTTGGTTGAATCAGGTGGCCCAAGCTCAAATGCTCCCACCAGCCAAGGAGCAACATAAGCTCAGTGGGCTGGGTGGAATGATTCTGTGGGGAGGATGGGGCTTGTGATGACTTGGATGGGATGTCCCCTGCCCAAAAAAGGCCCAGCTACCCACCCCCAAACTGAGTGGCTATCACATGGGCTGTTCTAAATTCTAGAAATGGCCACAAAGACTGCCCATTCCTGAACACTTTCACCCTTTGCAAGTTGCCTTTGCAACTGCTTCCATCAAGAGGTGAGGTCTCTTTCCCAGTCCTTGACTCTGGCCTTGGCCGTGAGACTCGCTTTGTCCCATGGGACATTAGCAGATGTGACACAAGCAGAAGTGTGGAAAACACTTGAGTGTTGGTGCTTTCTCTCCTGCGCTCTTGGAGACCCTTTTGTTACCAGAGAAGGCAGGGTTCTTGTCTTCGTGAAAGAAAGAATTCAGGCGTGAGACAGAGAGTAGTGGGAGGTAAAATAGCAAAGTTTATTAGGGAAGGGACATCCATAAGGACGGATGGGCACCTCTCCAGACAGAGCCTGAGAGAGAGTGCCCAGTTGCTTGGACGGGGGTGGAGGGGAGAGCGAGGTTACATGGTTGAGTGGAGAGATTACACCTGACCAGGCCAGGTGGGCGGCTCAGCAGAGAGGCAGAGCGCGCAGTCCGCAGTCCGGTTGAGGCCGGGGGTTTTTAAGGAGATGGGTCTTGCTTCCCCACTTGTGCTCCTCTTGGGACAAAGGCTTTCTGGATGTAAATAGAAAAACTTCCATCTGAGTTTTCTCCCTGAAGTTATCAGACAGGAGGAAGCCTAGCTGGCGCCTGTCCTGAGTTTAGAGGAAGGGTGAGCAAGTCCCCCTAGAGAATGGGGACCCGGAGCAGGGTGTTTGAAATGCAGATATTGAGCTGCATCTGGGAGATTGTGGAAGATTTGTCAGGCAGAAGGGGCAGGGACCTCCACCTGGCAGGTTATCAGATAGAAGGGGGCAGGGCAGGATATGAATACCAGGCTGCCCCTGAAACATTGTCAGGATGACTTTGAGATGCAGATGCTGGACATAGATGTCTTCTCTTTAGGCCTTTATGTCACACACACATAAGCTCATATCTGACTTCCTACCTAACACTTTGACCACCAACAAGAAGACCCAGGCTACCATGCTGCAGGATGCACATGACCAAGACAGGGGAGTGAGGCTGTCTGGGACCAGCCAGCCCTGGGTGGTCCCAGGGATCTCTGAAGTTGACCAGACCAGGGCTGCATGGCCAACCTGTAGAATTTAGGAGAATGGGGAATGTTTCTGCAGGTGCCAGAGTATGAGGGTAGGCAGCTATCACTCACTGCAGGACAGCCCAGCATTGCCAGATGTTAGGGTCTTTTAAAAAAGTAACCAGAAGTTCACATTTTTGTGTAAGTTCCAGCTTTTTAAAAAAATTTGAAATACTAGCCAGTATTTTCTGGGCCAAACAAAACACAACTTCCGTGTGCTCTTGGCCTTGTGGTGGTTGGTTTGTGACTTTCTGCAAGAAGGCTTTGTGCTAGCATCTCACTGCCACTGACTCACCCACCCCTCCTGCCGCGACGCTGTGTCCCAGCCACCGGTTCTTTCTTTCTTTCTTAAAGATTTTTATTTATTTATTCGACAGGTAGAGTTACACACAGTGAGAGAGAGACAGAGAGAAAGGTCTTCCTTCCGTTGGGTCACTCCCCAAATGGCCACTACGGCCGGCGCTGCGCCGATCTGAAGCCAGGAGCCAGGTGCTGTCCCCCCCACCCCGGTCTCCCATGCGGGTGCAGGGCCCAAGCACCTGGGCCATCCTCCACTGCACTCCTGGGCCACAGCAGAGAGCTGGACTGGAAGAGGAGCAACCAGGACTAGAACCTGGCACCCATATGGGATGCTGGCACCACAGGCGGAGGATTAATCAAGTGAGCCACGGCGCCTGCCCCAGCCACTGGTTCTTGGTCTGGAGCACCCACCGTGGCCGTTACAGCCCAGCCTCTCTGGAGGCTGCTGGTGCTGCCCATCTTCATGGAGAAAGTGAAGTTTGAGAGGGGCCTCCAGTGAAGGATCATGGGAAGGAGACTCCTGGTTTTAGATGAGCGTGGGATCAGGCATGGTGGTGGCATGCCCGTGGAACAGTGCTCAGCAGCAAGTCCTTGGCTTTGGGCCAGGGAAGGGTGTTCCTGTGGGGAAACGGGGAGATCAAGTTGGAGACGGGAGAGGTGATACTGGGGAGCCCCTAAGGCCAGGCCAGGGGGTCTGCACTTGATTGTCTGGCAAAGGGAAGTCCCTTGGGGAACCTGTAGTGTGCAGAATGGTGCTCTGGGAGGCAGAGAGCGACAGACGAAGGTGCGGTGTCCACAGAGACAGAGGGAGCATCAGGATTGGAAAGTGAAGCTGGGATGAATTAGGTTTTCAAAGCTCTTCTATCAACAACTTTGCAATTTGTCAAGGTTCTTTTTTTTTTAAAGGTTTATTTATTTGAAAGAGTTACAGAGAGAGAGAGAGAGGTCTTCCATCCACTGGTTCACTCCCCAAATGACCACAACGGCCAGAGCTGAGCTGATTTGAAGCCAGGACCCAGAAGCTTCTTCCAGGTCTCCCACACAGGTGCAGGGGCCCAAGGGTTTGGGCCATCTTATACTGCTTTCCCAGGCCAAAGCAGAGAGCTGGATTGGAAGTGGAGCAGCTGAGACTTGAACTGGCGCCCATAGGGGATGCCGTGCTGCAGGCTGGGGCTTTAACCCACTGCGCCACAGCGCCGGCCCCGCAAGATCTCTTTCTCTCTCTATCCCTCCCTCTCCATCACTTAGTCTTACAAATAAGTAAAACAAATCTAAAAACAAATAAACAAAATCAGCAGTAGGAAATAGCCAGAGACCAGTGATTTTCCATCTTGAGTGATTTGAACCTTTTAAAGTTCCTCCTGGGTTCCACCTCCCAGAGTTTTGGATGCAGTGAGCCTGGGTGCCGCCTGTGCAGAAGGCACTTTGAGAGTGTGCGACAGGATTGTCACTTGCTGCAGGGCTTGAAAACTGTCACCCCTCAGTCACCAGTGGCTCCCGTGAGCTGGGACTGCTCTGAGGTTCACAGCTGCATTTTATTGCATCTAGGCGGCATCTGCCGTGGGGTCATTGCCATAGTCAGGGACTGGGGTTCCCAGGTAAACTTGGAAAGCCTGCGTAGCTGGGGAGTGGCATGTCTGGCCTGAGCCACACTCTCAGGTTGGATGGAAGCAGTGCATTACATGGGAGGATTCAGACGACCTCAGTACCAGTACACACACGCGTTGCAGTGAGTCTTGTCTGCTTAGAGTGCTCCTTCCCAAGAAAGCAGGTGCCCTACAGGTTCCGCGAATGGAGGGGAGGGAGGACGAGTAGGAGACAGATGTCAGAGACAGGGCTGCTACGAGCAGGAACGCTCTGGAACGTTGGTGTAAAGGTAAACAAGCCCGCGGGGAAGCACCAGCGGAGTTTTGGCATGCCAGGCATGAGTTCCGGTGGCAAGGGGGTACTTAGGTGGTGCGTCTGTCCTGCCGAGTCCGGAGTCTGGTGACATCCCGTGGCAGTCGTGTCCCCCCTCCCCCGGGCCTGGCTGGCTGAGATGTTGCATTTATTTATTTATTTATTTATTTCCCTCCATTCTCTTCCTGGAGCGCGTATGAATGATACACAAACACTTGTGTGGGTGGATAAACTGCTTCACTGGGGCTGTAGTGGTAGTAACATTATCATTTAAAATCATCTTTTTAGAGGAACAGCAGGGGCCGTAAGAGATTTTTCTGTAAACATTTAAAAAAAAAGTCTTCACATCAAAAGTTCTTACTGCTGTCCCAGTATGATCTTTTTGAGGCTGAATTCTTCACGTTGCTATGCATTTGTAATAAACACACCTTCCATGCTGGAGTACTTGGTGTGAGTCCGAGCTCCTCTGCTTCTGACCCAGCTTCCTGCTAAGCCACACCCTGGCAGGCAGCAGCGAGCCTCGAGTACGGCGGTCCCTGCCATCCACGTGGCAGACCTGGATTGACCTGGCCCAGCCTTGCCTGTTGCAGGCCTTTAGCAAGTGAAGTAGCAGACAGAAAGGTCTCTGTCTCTCTCTCTCTCTGTATTTCAAATAAATAAATAAATACAAATTAAAAATAAAATTAACTATTTTTAAATTGTTGTTTCTCTGAAATGTGAATTTCACTGGCTGTCCTGTACTTTTTAAAAAGTTTAGTAATTAAGGCCGGTGCCGCGGCTCACTAGGCTAATCCTCCGCCTAGCGGCGCCGGCACACCGGGTTCTAGTCCCGGTCGGGGCGCCGGATTCTGTCCTGGTTGCCCCTCTTCCAGGCCAGCTCTCTGCTGTGGCCAGGGAGTGCAGTGGAGGATGGCCCAAGTGCTTGGGCCCTGCACCCCATGGGAGACCAGGAGAAGCACCTGGCTCCTGCCTTCGGATCAGCGCAGCGCGCCAGCCGCGGCGGCCATTGGAGGATGAACCAATGGCAAAGGAAGACCTTTCTCTCTGTCTCTCTCTCTCACTGTCCACTCTGCCTGTCAAAAAAAAAAAATTAGTAATTAAGGCCGGTGCCCTGGCTCAATAGGCTAATCCTCCGCTTGGGGGTGCCGCACACCGGGTTCTAGTCCCGGTCGGGGCGCCGGATTCTGTCCCGGTTGCCCCTCTTCCAGGCTAGTTCTCTGCTGTGGCCCGGGAAGGCAGTGGAGGATGGCCCAAGTGCTTGGGCCCTGCACCTGCATGGGAGACCAGGAGAAGCACCTGGCTCCTGCCTTCGGATCAACGCGGTGCGCCGGCCACAGCACGCCGCCCGCGGCGGCCATTGGAGGGTGAAAGGAAGACCTTTCTCTCTGTCTCTCTCTCTCACTGTCCACTCTGCCTGTAAAAAAAAAAAAAAATTGGTAATTAGAGAGAGCACGGGCGAGCACACTCTCCCATCTGCTGGTTCAACCCCAACGTGCCCACAGCAGCTGGGACTGGGCTGAGTGGAAGCCGGGAGTCAGGAGCAGCCTGGGTCTCCCCGTGTGGGTGGCAGGAAACCAGTCACTTGAGCCATCCCTGCCGCTCCCTGGTTCTGCGATAGGAGAACGCTATGGAGCTAGAGCAGGGCGTCCAGCCAAGGCCCTTCCGTGTGGGATGTGGGTGTGTCCTAGCCTGTAGGCCAAATGCCTGCCCTTCAACGCTCCCTGATGCTACAAGTTTTCTACCCAAGACCGATTTCTAAGTTGTCCTGGGGAGCTCTGCTAGTTCTCACGGCTAGAGATGTTCAATGGAAGAATAACTGGTGTTCATAGTTATTCTACTAAAATGTGATTTTAAACATGTAAAAGAGAAAACCGTGTGCCAAGTGTTGAAGCGTTTACATGATGCTTCTGAGGCTTGAGTACCCGACCTTTAAGGATTTCCTTGCAGCCCTAGGAACACAGGGGATTCCAAGGCAGTTAACTCACTCTGAGATTATTGTCCCATATCAATTTTCAACCCAAGCATTTATCTTTCTTTTTGGATAATATAAAACTGCTCCATTGAGCTATCTCTAATCTATATTAAGCTGCATTTGTTTAAAATGTAGAGTTTGATGAGTTTTGATGTACACATATGCTTGTGATGTTCCCACCACAGTCAGGATAATGAATGTGTCTGCCGCACCCAGGAGCTTCCTTAAACCTCTTTATAATCCACCTCTCTCCATCTTCTCCTCCTGTCCCCATGCAACCACTGACCTTGTTTCTGTCGCTATAAATTAGTTTGCATTTTCTAGAACTAATGTGGATGGTGTTGTAGAGCAGGCACTGTTTTGGGGAGGAGGGTGGCTTCTTTTCCTCGACACAGTTATTTTGAGACAGCCTTTTGCTGTGTGTCTTGGTTGCTCATTTCTTTTTGTTGCTGACTTGTGTCCTGCTGCATGATCTTTCCCATGTTGTTTATTCGCCTGTGTATGGACATCTTGGTGCTTTCTCGTGTTTCACTGGTAAGCTGTGGTGAGCATTTGTGTGCCACTGCAGTTTTGGAATTATGTGTCTAACTAAGCCACGTTCCTGGGTTGGATGCTAGGTCTTTATGTAAGCATATGCTTGCTTGCTTTTTGGTAAATACTTGGGAGTGGAGTGGATAACTGCTGGTGGTCGTCTGGGGGCTGGGGCAGTGTGGAGGCCGAGGGGACTTCCCCTTTGGAGTCGATGCTTTTGTATAAAGGTGCAAGGACAGTGTCCCCTCCTTCCCTCACTCGTTGTCCCCTTGCTTCCTCCCAGTGGGAACAGGACCTCCTCCTGGCCGCCGCCTATGTTTCGGATGCACAGTACAACAGAAACGTCCCGTTTGAAACATCCCCGCGGGCCATCAGGTAATCCACTGTCCACCAGCACCGACGGTCTTGCTGTTGAACCCACGCTCGAGACCTTGTTTTCACGGGTGTGGCATGCAGATTTGGGTAAAATCCACTGGTTTGCTTGTAAACTCGCAGGGTGTAGCGCCTCAGGTGCAGGAGGCACTAGGTAGGGTCAGGATGGATTAGTGAGTCCTCAGCACCAGGCTCGCAGACCACGCCCCAGCTGTGACCTGCGGTCACCTGTCGCCTCCATCCAGATGTTCCCTGGGAGCCAGCGGAAGTGCAGCAAAGGCGTTTCCTTCTTCCTCTTTTGGTTTCCTTTGATGCGATACATAATGTTTCTTCTTTTCATGGGAATTTAGCTTGTTCTGGATCACCTCCAAGGGATGAACTGAGACCAAGTATTTGACTTAGAAGAAGAAAGTAAACACTTGTTACTGTCAGGGCTCAGGGGTGGTGTCTCCAATGTCACCATGTTCCTCCGCCCTGGGCGCTGTCAGGCAGGTGCGGGGACTGTCCCCACCCAGCAAGAGAACCGTGTGGCCCCAGATCTGTTGCGATTGTGTGCTGTTAGGATGGGACCGTGCGTGTGTTCAGATCAACTTCGAGTGCTGCATGCTCCGTAATAATTAATAAGTCCCTGTAACGGGAGGGTCTTCCTGGCTGTGCCAAGTCCTCTAAATGAAATCTCTTGTGCCTGTCAACAACCCCACGAGGAAGATGCAAATCCTACCTCGAGACTGTTAAGGAAATGTGCTAGGAGATCTGATCGCATTCTTGATTGTTTTCTGCTAGCATTTTGTGGTGTATGCTCTGTGCTCGCTGAAACACCATCCCTGCCCCGTAGAATCTACAGGAAACGTGAGCAGTACGTGGCTGCTGGTTTTGCTTACCGTTAGTCTTCTCAGGAGAAGTTTGAGAGCTGTTCACTTTCTTCCTGCTGATAACCACCTTTATTTTCCCCTCCAGACTTTACTATTTTTATAACCACTGGACCCTGCGAGTCGCCACGTACGTCTTTATTTGTGTAGACCTTTCTCTCGCCCTGTTTGAGGAACCTGCACTATTCCCACTGCCTTTCTTGGTAAGCATTAAGAATGTGATGGTAGGGCCTGGCCTTGTGACATGGCAGGTAAAGTCGTCACCTGCAACGCTGGCATCCCCCTTGGGTGCTGGTTCATGTCCCGGCTGCTCCACTTCCCATCCAGCTCCCTGCCAATGGTCTGGGAAAAGCAGCAGAAGATGACCCAAGTCCATAGACTCCTACACCCCTGTGGGAGACCTGTATGAAGCTCCTGGCTCTTGGCTTTGGCCTGGCTCAGCCCTGGCCATTATGATCATTTGGGGACTGAACTAGAGGAGGGAAGATCTCTCTCTCTCTCTCTCTCTCTCTCTCTCTCTCCCTCTCCCTCTCCCTCTCTCTGTGTGTGTCTCTGTCTTTCAAATAAATTAAAAAATATTTTTTTAAAGAATGCAGTGGTTACCCAGAGTTTGATAACTCGGGCCCCAGGCCTCTTCCTTCCCCCCACCTCAAATTATAGAGCATATGAACTTGATTTTATTTTTCTTCTGGAAGATTTGAGAAATTCTGACTCCTTACTAGCTAATGCTTCAATCCTAAGACATTTGAAGTGCCATGGAGGTTTTTGATCCACAGGGATAAATCAGATAGAGATGATACAAATGATCTTTTCAAAGCATTATTTATTTAATGACATGCACATGTTGTCATGTTGTATAAAGTGCCACCTGCACCTGCCACAGTGTTGGCTTTTGTCTTAGTCGTAAGCCACTGGAATATTTAGTTGGTGCTCAGTAGCTGATCATGTGTGATTTTGAGTAATATATCAAGCTACTCTGCTAATCCAGATGGGTCTGCATAATAACCACTAGTCTGCTTGTGGTGAGTCCGGACTGGCCACCTTGGAGTTACTGGCTACCATTTGCTTGGTGCTTACTGTCTGTTTGCAGGCCTCTGAGAGGTGCACCTGCTGGTGTCACGCCTGTGTTAAGGAAGCTGAGCTTTACAAAGGTTGTAGGACTTGTCCAGAGTCACCTGGCAGCAAGGATGGTGCTCGGCTCTGGCTCAGTCCGTCTGATTTCAAATCTGTTTGCTCCATAACAACACTGTCACCCTTTTCATTCTTCCATGTTTCTGTATCTCTTGCTGTGTTACAAACACCCCGAACCTCAAACACTTACACTGGGATCAGACAACTCTGTTTTTTCATATAAATTATTCCATTTTTAAAGCACATTTATTTTTATTTGACAGGTAGAGTTAGACAGTGAGAGAGAGACAGAAAGATCTTCCTTCCGTTGGTTCACCCCCCAAATGGCTGCCATGGCCGGTGTTGCGCCGATCCAAAGCCAGGAGCTAGGTACTTATCCTGGTCTCCCACGTGGGTGCAGGGCCCAAGCACTTGTACCATCCTCTGCTTCTTTCCCAGACCAATAGCATGGAGCTGGATTGAAAGTGGAGCAGCTGGGACTCGAACTGGTGCCCATATGGGATGATGGTGCTGCAGGCGGAGGCTTAACCTTCTACATCATGATGCCGACCCCGGGGTCAGGCAGCTCTGCCTTGTGGACGAAATTGGGCTGCTGTCTCTTTGTGCAGCCTGTGGGCTAAGAACAGTGATTTAAACCAAATATTTGCTCCCCCAGTCCTCACATTGGACATATGAAATACCAATAGTGTGGGACTTGGAGGCAGGGTCTTTGAGAGATGATTAGGTTGTGCAGGTGGAGTACTCATGGGTAGAATTAGCACCCTCATGGATGATGCCCCAGGGAGCTCTCTCGTTCCTTCTGCCTCATGAAAACACAGGAGAAAGATTTCCTGCCCATGCCTCAGGAAGCATGTTCCCTCCAGACACCATACTGCCTGGCATCTTGGACTTCACCCAGTCCTGATGAACTCCTACAGGCCCCACCTCCACGTTCCAACCACATAGGACTTCATGTCTAGGAGCCACAGCAGGGAGTGAGCCTACTGCCCGAGGAAGGCACTTCTAGAAGCCTGTGCTGAATCGAGAGTGGGGCATCTAAGAGTGAGGAAGTGGCTGCCCCTGCCCTCTGCCATCCCGACTCCCCCTGTTCTTATGCCTTCTGAGCCCCCAGCCTGCTGGGAGCAGCCCTGCCCACAAAGCCCTATGAGTCTGGGTCGTGGAAACCGTGACTCAGGGTAGGTTTCCTCTTAAGACGAGACAGCATTTTACCCAGCAGAGAATTCTGCCACAACTTTCAGTAACATGGAAGGATGTGGCTATGTCTCAGAGGTTGCCGGGCAGGACCAGGGCAGGTCAGTGGCGGAGGGGGGTGCGAGAGAGCTGAAGCCGTGCTTCCCGGTGGCCGGGTGCTGTGCTCAGTCCCTGTGTCCCCCCTGCAGGCGACCTCGATAGTGGAAGTCCTGTGCCTGACCGCCTTCTTTGGGAGACTGGTGCATTTTGCAAAAGTCACTCCTCAAATGGTTTTCTGGAAAGACACCAAGAACATCTGCATCCTGGTGACCATCGCGGTGAGTGTGGGTTGCCAGCAATGGGAAAGCCTTGAACAGAGAGCACCTGATGGATTTGCCTTTGTGAAAACAAGCAGTGATGATCATGCAGACGCTGCAACAGCCCGCCCAGTGAGGAGCAAACCGGGCCACCCATGACCCATGATGGCTCTTTTAACACCTCAGGGGCATTTCCAAATTAAAGACACAAAGAGAGATGCCCCAGTAGAAAAAGGGGCTGAAAACAGGCAAAGCTAGCTCATACAAGAAATATAAATGATGTTCAACTAAGTACAACATGCAGATCAGAACAGCAGTAAAGTCTACTGGGATTTGCCTATAAAACAATGTTAGCAAGCTTGAGGGGAAACAGCCCTTCTTACACCTGCTGGACAGAGGAATAGAGGGATCTTTCTGGAAGGCTGTTGGGCAGTTCCTTTCAAAACCTTAGATGTGCATGTGTTTGCAACCTGGACTTTGGTGGCTGGGGCTTTATCCTCAGGAGAGAAGGGTGCATTCAAAGATTTGGTCATGACACTGGTGAACGCTTGGCCACAAGTGGCTTTCCTGATGGTAGGTATGAGAGGCAGGTGGCCCCTTAGGCTGGTATGAAGGGCGGGCACCCCAGGTCCATTATCCAGGAGAGATGCTTGCCGGGTCCCTGTCAAGGGTGCCGTTCATTTTGCCTAGTGGATGAGATGCCTGTTATGGTGCCCACGTCCCACCCCACAGGGCCTGGATTAGGTGCCCGGCCGTGGGGTCTGACTCCAGCATCCTGCGCCTGTGCATCCTGGCAGGCAGCCATGTGGCTCAGCTGTTTGGATCCCTGCTGCCACTCTGGGAGACCTGGTTTTAGTTCTTGGCACCTGGCTTCAGGCCCAGCTGTGGGTGTTTCAGGAATATGGGGGGTGAGCCAGCAGATGTGCGCATGCTCTCTCTCTCTCTCTCCCTCTGACTCTCAAATATGCAAATAAAAATTTTAAGATAAATAAAAAAGGGGCTGACACTGTGGTGTAGCAGGTAAGATTTATTTATTTATTTAAAAGTCAGAGTCACACACAGAGAGAAGGAGAGGCAGAGAGAGAGAGAGAGGTCTTCCATCTGCTGGTTCACTCCCCAGATGACCACATGGCTGGAGCTGTGCCGATCCAAAGCCAGGAGCCAGGAGCTTCTTCCAGGTCTCCCACGTGGGTGCAGGGGCCCAAGGACTTGTACCATCTTCTACTGCTTTCCCAGGCCACAGCAGAGAGCTGGATTGGAAGTGGAGCAGCTGGGACTTGAACCAGCGCCATGTGGGATGGAGGCACTGTAGGCAGTGGCTTTACCTGCTATAGCACAGCGGCGGCCCCATGTCCTCATGAACTTTTTGCCTCAAACCTGACATTCTGAGGACCCATAAGGGTTTCTGTATTCCAGCTATTCTTTTCTCTGTTACTAGGCTAACATCCTCTCTATTACACGTAGGGGAGCATGCGGTGGTGGGATGAGCAGCAAGGGCCTGGACATCTGGCGGTGTGGGCCCCAGTCCCAATTCTGCCCCTTAGTCTAAGCTGTGTGACCAGGGCCCACATGCTGGCCCTCCCTGTCTCAAGCCCCTCCCCCGGGAATAGGACCCACCTGCCGGTTGCAGAGAGGCTAAGTGAAAGTCTCCAGCAGGTGCTTTCTCTGCTCCATGGCACAGGGCACAGGTCAAAGGTGAGCCATGCACGCATGTTCCAGAGCCGGAATCGTGCTGTGTATGAAACTCGCTTCTCTGTAGCCTGGCGCTTCTCCTGAGCGGGTCAGCGTGCGTCCACTGTTACCTCCCCGGCCCCCGCGCGGTGCTGACTCTTCCCCATGTCTCTCCCAGCTGACCTTGCTGGACCTGATTATCTACGGGTCCCTGGAAGCCGTTCAGATCCGCGGCATTAGATGGTCCAGGGCCTTCCGGCCAGTCTTCCTCATCAACTTCCCCGAAAGCCGTCAGGTACGGGAGCCACTCCGGCCGTGCCGGGGGTTGGGATTGGCTTCTGCACGGGTGGAGTGAGAGTGGTTTCTTCCTAGATCCGCAGGGCTCTCCGAAGCCTCCGGAACACTCTGCCTGACATCCTCTACGTCTTCCTCTTGTTTATGTTCAGCGTGCTCATCTTCTCCCTGATGGCCTTGAAGCTCTTCGGGGACAGGTGAGCTCCCGTCTCCTGGGTGAAGGCTGCTGGTGGCAGTCGGTCGCCGGCCGCTCTCTTCCGTGTCCCAGCACTGCGGCGGGCACGGGCGGTGGGAGCCAGGACTTGATGTCTGTATGTGGTTTTCATCTGGGTCTTTGGTTCCTCTGTAGGGGTCTGAAGACAGCAGAAGGCTCCCCCTACCTCACGAACATTCTGGAGATTGCGTTTGAGCTCTACGTGCTGGTCACCACAGCGAACAGCCCTGACGTCATGTATGTGCCCCTCTGACCTGTTACCCTCTCACAGTTCACAGTGAAGGCAGCCGTGGTGGCGTGTGTGCGCCATAGCAGTTACGACGCCCACAGCCCATTCCCTGGTGCGTGGCTCAGATTCCCGACTCCTGCCAGGGCAGACCCTGGGAGGCAGAGGTGACGGCTCAGCAGCCGAGTTCCTGCCACCCACAGGGGAGACCTGGATTGAGTCCCCAGCTCCCAGCTTAGCCTTGGTCTGCAGCTGTTGCAGGCATGCGGGGAGTGACCCAGCAGAAGGGAGCTCATTTTGTGTGTGTGTACCTCTTTCTCACTCTCTATCAGTCTAACTCTCAATTGAATAATTTTTTAAAAAATTTTGTTTTATTTACTTAAGAGGTAGAGCTACAGACAGAGAGACGGGTCTTCATCCACAGGTTCCCTCCCCAAGTGGCCGCAACAGCCAGAGCTGGGCCGATTGGAAGCCAGGAACCAGGCAGGGGTCCAAGCACTCGGGCCATCCTCCGCTGCTTTCCCAGGCCATTATCAGAGAGCTGGATTGGAAGAGGAGCAGCTGGGACATGAACCAGTACCCATGTGAGATGCCAGCGCCACAGGCAGAGGCACAGCCTACTACACCATAGTGCCAGCCCCTAAATAAAAAATTTTAAAAGAAGATACATTCTGCAAAATGTTAAAAAAAAAAAAAAACTGTTTCCTAGCAGGGCTGAGAAGAAAAAGAGTGATTTTCTATTTAGTTATATTTTTTGTAAGCATTTTGAAGAATGTAACGTTTTATGCCAATAGTAGCCGACACTCTTTATTTAAAACCAAATTTAGTTGAAGTCTTTTTTTTTTTTTTTTTTTTTGACAGGCAAAGTGGACAGTGAGAAAGAGAGACAGAGAGAAAGGTCTTCCTTATGCCATTGGTTCACCCTCCAATGGCCACCGCGGCCGGTGCGCTATGGCCGGCGCACCGCGCTGATCCGAAGCCAGGAGCCAGGTGCTTCTCCTGGTCTCCCATGGGGTGCAGGGCCCAAGCACTTGGGCCATCCTCCACTGCACTCCCTGGCCACAGCAGAGAGCTGGCCTGGAAGAGGGGCAACCGGGACAGAATCCGGCGCCCCGACCGGGACTAGAACTCGGTGTGCCGGCGCCGCTAGGCGGAGGATTAGCCTAGTGAGCCGCGGCGCCGACCTAGTTGAAGTCTTTTTAAAATTGAAGGCAACAGGAGCCCTCTCTTGGGGTACAGCTCTTAAAGAGGTGAGCCCACTTCCTCCTCTGGGGTCCTCCTTGAATTTGGAGTGAAGAGCTGAGCCGTCGCCGGGTCAGAGCAGCTCATTCTCCCCAGCGCTGATGCAGTATTCCGGCCACGTGAGGCAGGAAAGCCACGGACACGCCAGTCAGTGTCGCCTGCCCTGCAGAACGCTACCTCTCCACGTGTGGACTCACTGCGGGGGCAAACCCTGTGAGGTCTTCTGCAACGCTCCGATTCTGGATTCCCCTGGTTCACAGGTGTAGAGTTCTTTTTTAAAAGATTTTTATTTTATTTATTACAAAGAGTTATAGAGAGAGGGAGAGAGAGAGAGAGAGAGAGAGAGGTCTTCCATCCGCTGGTTCACTCCCCAGTTGGCTGCAATGGCTGGAGCTGGGCCAGACCAAAGCCAGGAGCCAGGAGCTTCTTCCTGGTCTCCCACATGGGTGCAGGGGCCAAGCACTTGGGCCATCTTCTACTGCTTTCCCTGGGCTCATCAGCAGGGAGATGGATTGGAAGTGGAGCAGCTGGGAATCGAACCGGCGTCTATCTGGGACTCCGATGCTGCAGGCCGTGACTTAACTTTCTGCTCCACAACTTTGGGCCTGGGGGTAGAATTCGTAAGCGACGCTGTCCTGAGGAGGATCCCTCTTCAGCTCTGGGAGCGGGCACAGCACCTGCCGCACAGGTCAGCCTACATCTCCTCCAGGACTGTGTGTGAGGCAGAGGTGGGTGTCCATCACCTGCTTGCATGGAGGGCCGCCCAGTCATCTAATTCACGGGGGTTGTCCACTCGTGGCCTGGCCCTCGGCACAGCGGAAGTGGGGTGGAGGCAGCACGTGTCCCCCTCTCCCCCCCGCCTCTTGTCCTGCCGCGGTCAGTAGCAGGGGTCCCTTTCATCCCCGTGTTCCCAGGTGGATGGATTGCAGCCGAGGCCCTATGCCATGTACTGCAGGGTGCTAAGTGTCACTCCAGCTGTGCTGCTTGGAGCCGCCCTCCTTCCTCCCCTTCCTCGGGCTCGGTTTCTTCATTGTAAAGCATTGGGCTGGGCCATCTCCAAGCCCTACCCCTTTGAAATCTGGTGCCACCGTAGGGCACGAGAAACGTCAGAAGGGCGGGCTTGAAGTGAGCTGCTTAGCATCAGCGATGGTGACGAGTCTGAGGCCGCATGACAGAATCGGGAATGGCAGCCAGGGAACATCCGGGGCCTCGTGCACATGGATTGTGTGTGTGGGATGTCGCCGCAGGCCGCAGCCTCCTGTGCACTGTGGGACTAGGGTATGAAAAACCAGGCTACGCCATTCTTTCCCTCCAGGATGCCTGCCTATGACTTCAACCGGTGGTACTCGCTGTACTTCATCGCCTACATCATCATCAACACGTACATCTTCATGTCCGTCTTTCTGGCCGTGGTCTACAACAATTACAGGAAGCACCTCAAGGTAATGTGGCGGAGCTGGGGTGGGGCAGCAGCAGGGAGGCAGGCAAGGGCATTGCTAAGTCCACGGGCGTGGCCTTGCTCTGGTGAGTTCTGGGGGATCCGGAGGCTCAGCTGGGCTCCGCTCCTTCTGCTGGTGGTCTGAGAGGCGGACGGGCGTCGGGGGCTTAGCCAGGACACCTGCCCTCCTGTGTGCAGTGTCGGGCTCTGGCTTTGCCTCTTGCCCTTGACGCATCAAAGAGCTCCCGAGGGCTGTTGAGCCTTAACGCCTTTTGGAAGCTTCCCTGCGGTCAGTGCAGATGGCAGTTCCAGCCCAGGCTCACTTCTAGCCTGGTTCCACTTCCCTCCCTCTTCTCCTCTCCCTCTTCTCTTCCTCAGCTGGCTCAGCAGGAGGTCTCCTGGACCCCACCCCCACCCCTGTCCCCCAGGTTCACTCCCTTCTCTCTGCAGCCCACTCCGTTTGCTTCCTGTGGGGGGCCCCTCTCCTCCCAGGCAGAGAGGAGCCTGGCGCCCTCTGCCTCCTGTTGCCATGTTTCCCAGCACATGGGTTTCCCATCACGGCTCCCTTATTGGCACCTGGTGATGTAGACAGGGCTTGTGCTGGCCATGCCCAGGCCAGGGAGGGAGCCTCGGCCACGCTGATCAGCAAATCCGTCCCTGGCTTCTCTGGCTCTTCTGTGACCTTGAGCCTTTTCTTTTTTTTTTTTTTTTTAAGAACGAGATCCGCAAACTGGTGTACCTGAAACGTCACAAAATGATGGAGGCTTTCAAGATCCTAAAGGTCAAGGTGGGCACGGAGTTCGTGGTGAGAGAAGCCGAGTGGAAGAGGCTGGCGAGGATGGTGGTGCCGGACATCAGCAGCTCCCACCTGGAGCTCCTCTGGAGGATCTCCGACGAGGGGCAGAAGGGGCACGTGGGTAAGGGGCCTGGGCCTCGTGGCTTCCTCTGCCCTGTGTGATTCTGGGGTCACTCCTGGGTGTGTGAGGGATCAGTTCCAGGACTCCCAAGGATACCCACAGGAAATGGTGCAGGATTTGCATGTAACCTACCCACATCCCCCTCTATCTAGTGAGGTTGTGCCCCCTTGCTTATCATTTACAATGCAAACGCTGCGTCAGCAGTTGTTATCCCGCTTTGTTTAAGGGATAATGACAAGAAAAAGATCTACAGGTTCCGTGTGGAGGCAGTTTTTTCCCCCGGTGTTTTTGATCCTCAGTTGGTTGTATCTGGGATGCAGAATCTATGGATGTGGAAGGCTGACTGTATTTAAACAGGTTTTTGAATTCAAGTACAAACACGTAGGATACTCCCTGCTGGAGTAATGTCGCAGACAGCAGGTGGAGCCGCTGCTTGGGGCGCCCGTGTCCCGCACCAGAGTGCCTGCTGGGAGTCCGCTCTGCTTCCTGTGCTGCACGTCCTGGGAGACAGCAGATGAGGGCTCGGGCACTCGGGGCTCTGCCACTCGCACGGGACACCTGGGTGGAATTCCTGGGATCTGGCTTGGGCCTGGCCCAGCCATGGCTGTTTCAGGCATTTGGAGAGTGCATGGACAATTTCTGTCTGTCGTTCTACCTTTTGAATACATACAGGTTACATAAACACTTGAAAAAGAGAGAGTGTGTGTTAGCCCTCAGGCTCCAAGACCTGGAAGCGTGACAGTTCTAAGACTCCCGAGTGTCTTTTTCGCTCAGGGTGGTGGACTTCTGTGCTCTTAAAGCATCCTTAGGGGCATAGAGCATTGGGGCCAGACAGCAGCGTGCGTGCTTGCTGTCGCTCGAGGCTCTGTCCCATCCGGCTCCTCGCCCCGGCTCTGCCTCGTGTCTGCACACGGCAGCCCAGTGCATCGTCCTCGCGGGAAGCACACAGTGCTGCTGCTAATGGGTGCCCTCGTCTTTGCTTCCTTCTGCAAACAGGTGCACAACTGGCCTGGGTGTGTGCTCGGCTGTCTACAGGAGAAACTGTCCACGTCTTAAAAATTCCAGCCCCTATCTTTTCTTTTTTAAATTTACTTATTTTGAAGAGAGAGAGAAAGAGAAAGATATCTTCCATCCACTGGTTCATTCCCAAAATGGCCACAACATCCGGAGCTGGGTCAGTCTGAAGCCGGGACCCAGAAACTTCTTTTGGTCTCCCACGTGGGGGCAGGGGCCCAAGCACTTGGGCCATCTTCTACTGCTTTCCCAGGCCATAGCAGAGAGCTGGATCAGAAGTGGAGCAGCTGGGACTAGAACCAGCACCCATATGGGATGCCGGTGTTGCAGGTAGAGACTTAACCTGCTACGCCACAGCGCCGGCCCCTAGACCCAGTCTTTAATGGTCATCCCAGCTACATTTGATGTGCACCTGCAATTTATATCATTAGCTTTCTTTAGAGTTTCCAAAGCATTTGACTTGCTTTTCAAAGAATTCGCAGTACTCTTCGTACATTCTAATTTCATTCATTGATGTGATATTTCTTAAAGTTATATATAATTATGGGGAGTTTATGCAAAAACAGGGCTTGGAGCTAGCCCAGTTGATCTGCCTGGCGGGGAGGAGGTGCATGGGACCATGGGGAAAAGCCTGCTGGCCCTGGCATTCAGCAGCTGTGGGAAACAGCAGCGCGTTGGTTGGATGGGTCCAGGTTGGGCGAGAAGGTGCCCGTTGTATGTTGGCCCAGGATCGTGGCTGTGTCCATCGTGGAAGGTATGGGTTTGCGTGCCTGAGGAAGAGGCAGGCAGCCAGGCAGGGGGTCCAGAGGAAGGTGTGGGTTGCATGGAGGGAACAGGCGAGAGGGTTGAGGTTGGCAATCCAGGCTGGGGCAGGCACCGGAAGCCACCATGGCCCACGTGAGGAGGAAGGCAGAGTGGAGGGCAGCGGGTGGGCGTTTGCGCCTGCGCCTCGGGCCGCCTGAGGTGGGCAGGACAGGAACAGGGGGGCACGTGGGGGCCGCAGACTGGCTGCCTGGCTGTCGTGTCACGGCGCCTGTGGATGTGGGGGTTGCTTTTTCGCTGCAGACAGAATGAACTTTCTGCGCTTGGCTGACCTGCTCAACATCCAGGTGGTCACCGTGAACATCAGGAAGCACCCGCTGGAAGCCTGGGCGCCGCGGGTTTACCAGTCGTCCGCGAGCCTCTTCGTCCAGAGGATGGTCCGGCACAGGCAAGTGAGATGGGGCCAGTCTTCTCCAGGATTGCTTGAAAGGCAGGCCACTCTGTGCCACCCACACAGGAGACGCAGATGGAATTCTGGGCTCCTGGGGCCTGGCCCAGTCCTGGCTGTCGTGGGCATTTGGGGAGTGAACCGGCGTTTAGAAGATCTCTCTCTCTCTCTCTCTCTCTCTCTCTCTCTCTCTCTCTGCCTTTCAGTTAGAAAAAATAAATTAAAGAAAAACCATGGAACTCTTAATGCCATCTGTATGGAATGCCTGGTATTGAAGCCATGAATCTGCTCACTGCTTCTCTGAGCACACTGCGTGACCAGAAGTTGGGGGTCTAGCTCTTTCCTAAGATGCTCAGGCGCCCTCTGCTGGCCGTGCTGTGTGAGCCAGGAAAGCTGACCACTGTGTGAATTCAGGGGATTCCAGCCCCATCAGGGTAACTGTGAAGGTGATGTCGGAGCTGCTTGGACTCTGTGAAATACGTGGTCTGCGCTCAAGGGTTAGCATGGCTGGGGATGGCGTTCAAATAGATGCTTCTAGAAAGAGCCATCTACCTTGGCTTGAGGTCTTACCGTGAATACATGTGGCTCGCAAGCCCCCTGTGAGCAGAGGCTTGTTCTCAACCGCGGTGGCCCCGGGTGTTTCATTAAAATGAGTGGCTCGGGGGTCCTTGAGAGCAAGGCCATCCGCAGTGTGGGAGACATCCCTGAGAGCTGCCATGTCTGACGTGAGCCCTGGAAATGAGGCTCTTTGTTGTGAACCCCAACTTGACCTACTGCGTGCTTCGTGTGTCCTCGTGCAACACCGAGTGCTGGACCCTCGGGTCTGCAGTGTCCCGGAGAACAGGGGGGCAGCCCCTCCGGCTTCCCAGAGCCACACTCACGGCAGGCGTTCCTGGGCACCTGAGCCACCTGGGGCAGCCGGCTCCAGATCTGAAATCTTGGGTCAGAGCCCAGCTTTTTTTTTTTTTTTTTTTTCCCCTTTTCCACCTCACCTTTGGTGAGAAAGATGGACAGGGCGGTTCCCTGGGACACCTGCGTGTGCGGGGTGTACAGAAGTTTTCAGAACTGCCTCGGCTAAGGAGGTGAATTTTCAGGGACAGGTAGGAGGGGTGTGACCTCCCCACCCCCGATTCTGCCTGAGGTTTTGTCCCATCCTAGGGGCTGTGCCCAAGGCGGGACCTGGGAAAACCATTGCTTCGTTCTGTTCCTGGCTGTACCAGGGTCAGTGAGAGCCAGGTGAATTTCAGGGCCCAGCTGCTGTGGAATCTTCCATAGACCGTGTGTGTGTGTGTGTGTGAGTGTGTGAGTGTGTGTGTGTGTGTGTGTCATGAGTGTGGGGGTGAGGGGGACCTGTATCTTATGTTGTTGGGGAACAGAGCTGTGGTAGGGGCCGGCCGGGCTCGTGCGTCCCTTGCTGGACTTCCGGGTGAAGGGGTCCCCGTGTGCGTTCGCTCTTCCCTCTGCCAGGGCTTTTGTCTGGGTCTATGACGTCATCATCCTCGTCAACGCCGTCTTCATCGCCCTGGATGAGAGAAGCCTGTTCATCTCTCGGGCAGAGTGGTTCTTCCTCTGCCTCTACGTCGCTGAGATCCTGCTGAAGCTGTACACCTACGAGCCCAGGGCCTATCTTGGAAGGAAGCAGTTCTGGAACTGGTGAGTGAGTGGCCGGGGGCTGGGTGGGGGGGTACCTGCTGCCGCAGTGTGGGCCGGTGGCCGCCCTCCGCCCCGCTCCGCGCACGGCCTCCCTGTGGGCGTCCGATCGCGAGATCATGGTGCTGGAGGCGCCTGCCCCCGGGAAGGCTGCAGCTGAGGAGTCCATTTCAGCCGGAGCCGGCTCAGAGTAGCATCAGAGGCCAGGGCGTCTTGGTTTTGGAAAAGACCTTTACAAAAAGAACAGAAAACTTACAAAAAATTAATTTTTTGAAAGAGTTATATAGAGAGGGGGAGAAACAGAGATCGAGAGAGAGAGAGAGATCTTCCATCCACTGGTTCACTCCCCAGAAGACTGTAATGACCAGAGCTGGCCCAGGCTGAAGCCAGGAGCCAGGAGCTTCGTCCAGATCTCTCACGTGGGTGCAGGGACCCAAGCACGTTGGTCATCCTCTGCTGATTTCCCAGGCCTTTAGCAGGGAGCTGGATCGGAAGTGGAGCAGTCGGGAATCGAACTGGTGCCCATATGGGGTGCCAGTGTCACATGCAGCCCCAAAAAGAAGACTTTTTCCTCTACTCTCTCACACCACTTCTGACACCGAATGTGTGGGTTTTTTCTCGCACCAGGCAATTCCCTAACTCTCTAGGGCCGCACTGCCAATTCTGTTCTGGCTGTGTCTACCTGGAGGCAGCAGCAGGTCCCCTCAGCTCGGGGCTCTGTCCCACAAGGCCGCTCCCCCTTCAGATGCCAGGCCAGGCAGTAGGTTGTCACCTATACGAGGGTGTTTCAGAAAGTTCCTGGACAAATGGAATGAAAAGGATGTGTCTATTTGGGTGCAAAAACACTGTTGAGGGGCCAGTGCATGGTGCAGCAGGTTAATCCTCCGCCTGTGGCGCCAGCATCCCATATGGGCACCGGTTCTAGTCCCGGTTGCTCCTCTTCCAGGCCAGCTCTCTGCTGTGGCCTGGGAAGGCAGTGGAGGATGGCCCAGGTGCTTGGGCCCTGCACCCCATGGGAGACCAGGAGAAGTACCTGGCTCCTGGCTTCGGATCGGCGCAGCGCAGTGGCCATAGCGACCATTTGGGGGGTGAACCAACGGAAGAAAGACCTTTCTCTCTGTCTCTCCCTCTAACTGTCTGTAACTCTATCTCTCAAATAAATAAATAAAATCTTAAAAAAAAAACACTGTTGAAGCCCACACATGGTTTTCTCAGCGTCCACACTTCCCATGTATTGTGAGAAAAATGTTTTCACTCCAAATCTCTTGGCACCCACATAAACTCATACTTGCTTTCCGATTTTTAATAAAGATTTATTTTATATTTTGAAAAGCAGCGTTAGAGAGAGGGAGAGAATCTTCCGTCTTCCACAGAACCCAGGAAAACCGTTTCCGTGGTTGAAGTCCAGTTGGCTGTAAAAGGGCACAACTTGGGAATGGCCAGGTGGGGTGGGAGAGATTCCCAGGGCAAGGGTGTGGAGTCCCAGGCTCGCCCTGGACATGCCACCTTCTCGGCACCGACCCAGACAGCTCTCTGAGCCCCATCCTTTAGGCTTTGGTTGGCGGCTTCCTTATGTCCATGTGACTGATGGTGTCCCTGGCCAGCGGGATAGAGCCAGTCTGCAGGGCTGCTCCCCTCCCTGGAGAGTGGGGGCTGGGGGCGGCAGTGGAGCCTGCAGTTCCAAACCTCTGCTCCCAGAGTCGGTTCCCCTGTTCTTTAGGGCTTTCCAATGTCTTTAGGTTTCCCCGTCTTTAGGGCTTTCCAATGTCACCTCATTACCATGCGCTCTGGTGGGGCTGATAGGGACTTGTTACAAATAACAAAAGGCCCCTCTTGTCTTTTCTGTGGGTCGCTTCCTATCAGCATGTCGGGAGTGGGTTTGTGCTGGGTCGGGTCACTGTGTTGCCTCAGGAACCAGGTGTGCTGCTTTCTCTGGAATCTGTCCCACCCTGAGCCCAGCAGGCCCTGCCCGTGCTGCCTAACTCACTTTGCTTTTGCACTGTTAGGTTTGACATACTGATCATCATCGCAGCCCTGGTGGCCACTGTGGCCAATGCCACCATTCAGTCAGGTCAGTGCCGCCAGCTCTCGGCTTCACCCCAGCCCCGGGATCAGCAGACTCAAACATCCACCAGGCGTGGCTAAGGCTAAGAGGAGAGGGGGTGGGGACCTAAAACGTGCCAAGTCCTAAAAACATACCATGTCCTCCACAGGGGTGGTGGCTTTGGCTGCGTTCATCGGTTTCTTAGCGATTTTGTTTGTCAGCATGCGTCCCAGTTGCCATCCTGGTGTCCCTCCAAAGCTGGCCCTGGGGGTCAGGGCTGCACCTCCACCCCTTAGCTCCTGTGCACCTTGACCCGCTGCCCAGGTTCCAACCACAGTGGGGACCCTGCCTCGTCCCCTGCTCTCTCCCTGCCCATGTGTGGCTCTGCCTCCCTCTCACTCCCGTGCGCAGTGTGTGCCGGAGAAGGCAGGGGGAGCCTGTGACGGTGCAGCTTCCTAACACAGCTCTCGGAGGCGCTCTCCCTGGGGAGGGGAGCTTGTTGCCACGTGCCTTCTGGACAGCTGGCCCACAGCCGCTTCCTGCGCACGGCCTGAGGTGGACACCTGGTTGTGCTTGCTTCCTTGGCTCTCGGGGCTGGGGGAGGGATCGCGCGGGTCCCACGCTCACGGGGCCTGGCTTGGTCCCGGCTTGCGAGGGGGGCTGCAGAATTCCAGGCGGTGTTTGCCTCCTGCTTGCTCAGGGCCACTGTCCCACACCCTTCCCTAGCACACAGAGCCTCAGACCACCTCCAGCACAAGGAGGAGGCTCTCAGCATGGCACGGGAAATGACTGTGCTCCTTTTCCAGCAAGAAGATACAACAGTCAGCAGGTACTGGATATTGTCTTGATATTGAGGATACTCCGGCTGCTGCGGGTCATCGTCAGCATTCAGAGGTACGGGTGAGGGCCTGGAATGGCGCCCTCGGGAGGGTCCTCCTGCCCGGGAGCTGTGAACGGGCAAGTGTGGCTCCCAGAGAGGATGGGAGGGAAGCCGCTGAGGCTGGGCAGCTCCCTGAGGGCAGTGATTCTCTGGGTCACTGGGATTCTGTTGGTCCCGCCCTGGATTGGGCCTGCCTGTGGGCGGCTGAACGGGATCCGTTGTGACGCCAGCTAAGGTGAACTCAGGGCGCTGACGTCGCCTCACTGAGCCCCTGCAGCCCCCTTTGACGTAGGGGATTTCAGTAACCCTAGTTCACAGGAGATGATTCTGGAGCTCAGAGAGGTTAAGCAACCCTCCTGGGGGGTGCACAGCTAAAAGAGGCAGCCCAGGGTCCAAACCCAGGAGTCTGCCCCTGAAGCTCCGATAATCCCACCCTTGGCTTTTAAAAAAATTTTATTAAAAAAAAATTAGCCAAGACATGAAATTTGGGTATATTTGTAGGGTACCATGTAATGTTTGGATATATGTACACATTGGGTAATGTTCAGATCTGGGTAAGCATATCTCTCCAAGCATCATTTCTTCATGGTGGAAATATTCAGTATCCTTTCTTCTTGCTGTCTTTTGAAGGGAGACACCAGGTACATTATCTCGATCTGTCGTCACCAGAGCGTCTTCCTCCTGTCCAACCGTAACTTAGTGCCTGCTAACCAACCCCCCCCCCCCACCCCAGCTGCTGGGAGCCATCACTCCACTCTCGGCTGCCACGAGACCAACTTGCTCAGGTCCCACCTGTGCGTGAGGTCACGTGGGGCTTGCCTTTCTGTGCCTGGCTCATTCCAGTTACCGGAATGGCCTCTGGTCCTGTCCATGGCATCTCAGAGAACTCAACTGCTTCCTTGCTGATGGCTGAATGTGTTGGCCTTGTGGATGCCCGCCTCGTGTTCTGTATCCGTTCCTCAGCGGGTGGTCCCGTTAGAGGTTTCCATCTCTCGGCTAGCGTGAATAGTGGTGTGGGGCACGCCCGTGGGGCTGCCTCTCTGATCTCGCTTCCCTTGGAGAGGTGCCCGGGATGGGATTGCCACATGCATGGCAGCTCTGCTTTGAGCTCTCTGAGACGCCTCTGTGTTGCTTTCTGTAAGGGCCCCCTTTCTCCCACATCCTGGCCTGCGTTTCCTCCCTGGGTTTTTTGATAGAGCAGTCTCCATACACGGAGGCCCGGGGACCGTCGGCCCCCGAGGACTGGCCTGCTCTTCCGGGAAGCCCTGCAGGGCAGCCTCCAAACTGGCTCGATTAGGGTGGGGGGAGAGAGCAGATGAAGCCAGATAGTCTTTCTGTGTCTGTCTATGTCTCCCTGTGAGCTACTGTGTAGCCACCTGCTCTCTCAGCTCCAGAGGAGACTATCAGGCAGATTTCTGCTGACTTGGAAAGAACAGACCCAGGACCGGGGCAGTGGGTGGGTGGTCCATGCTGGCTGGGTGTCCCTTTTCCTGTCCGTCTGCCCTTGGCCTGAGTCGGAGACTGGTTTTATCCTAGGTTCCGGGTGATAGTGACCACGTTAGTCAACATTGGCCCTACGGTGCTGACGTTTGCCGGGCTTGTCTTTGTAAGTAGCCGCTGTGGTTAGCTCCTCTGTGCCGGGTACGTGGTGGCACATTCATCCTTAGGGAGCCCTAAGAAGCCGTGCTTTTTGTGACAGTGGCAGGAAAGGGAGAAAGGAAGCAGAGGCCTTGGTCTGCAGCAGCTGTTGTTACGAAACACCCAGTGTCTGGAAACACTGGGCCTGCACAGTGTATGCCGACTGCTGTCGGCAACACCAGCCACCCAGAGGGTTAACCCAGTAGAAGCCTCTTTCTCAACCACTGTCCGAGTCCAAGGCCAAGTCCAAGGGCAAATGTGGTCCTCAAGGCTGTAGGTTCCTTCCGGCCCTGGCTCTGCCACCTACCCCCAGGCCTCAGGTCCTTCTTTGTTTTGCTCCTGGAGAGAGCTTAGCTGCTCCTCCTGGGTTCCCAGAGTGAAGACCAGGTCACATAAGGCCACACGGGGCTGGGGATCTTCGCCTAGGATTGCTCCCCCACTGTGAATGAGGGAGCTCGGGTATCGGTGGACACTAAAGTACCCAGGGCACTGGTTTTCACCTTCACTGACAGTGGTAAAAAATTCAGTTCGCGGGGCCGGCTCTGTGGCACAGCGGGTAAAGCTGCATTTGGGCACTGGTTCAAGTCCCAGCTGCTCCATTTCCAGTCCAGCTCTCTGCTGTGGCCTGGGAAAGCAGTGGAAGATGGCCCAAGTGCTTGGGCCCCTGCACCCACATGGGAGAGCTGGAAGAAGCTCCTGGCTCCTGGCTTCGGATCGGCTCAGCTCTGGCTGTTGGGGCCATCTGGGGAATGAACCAGAGAATGGAAGACTTCTCTCTCTGTCTCTATCTGTCTCTCTAACTCTGTCATTCAAATAAATAAAATAAGTCTTAAAAAAAAAAAGGTATTTACCAAAAGAATGCAGTTCGTCTAGAAGAATGAAGGTGGACTCTTTCCCAGAGACAACTCTCATTAGGAGTTCCTTGCTGCTCTTCCTAAATATTTCCTTTTTTTAAAAAAACAAGAGATTTATTTATTTGAAAGGCAGAGTGATGGAACAAGAGGGAAAGACAGAGGAAGAGAGAGAGAGAGAGAGAGAGAGAGAGAGAGATATCTTCCACTTACTGGTTTATTCCCCAAGTGGCCACAGTGGCTGGGGTTGGCCAGGCCAAAACCAAGACCAGGAACTCCTTGGTTGGCAGGGGCCCAAGCGCTCGGCCATCTTCCACTGCCTTCTCAGGTGCAGCAGCAGGAAGCTGGATCAGAAGTGGAGCAGCTGGGACTTGAACCAGGTGTACTTATTTATTTCTCTGAAAGGCAGAGTTACAGAGAGACAAAGAGAGACAGGAAAAGAGAGAGAGAACTCTTTCATCTGCTGGTTCACTCCCTAAGTGGCCACCACAGCCTGGGCTGGGCCAGGGTGAAGCCAAGAACCAGGAATTCCACCTGGGGCTCCCACTTGGGTGGCAGGGGCCCAAATACTTTTGGGTCCAAGCAGGGAGCTGGATTTGGAGCAGAGCAGCCAGGACTTGAACCTGCACTGGTACGGGTGTGGGCCTTGTAAGCTGCCAGTTAACTCGCTCCGCTACAACACTGGCCCCCCCCCCCCTTTTTTTTGGCTGCATAGAAATTTTTTTTGACAGAGTTAGTGAGAGAGAGAGACAGAGAGAAAGGTCTTCCTTTTCCATTGGTTTACCCTCCAAATGGCCGCCAAGGCTGACGCAATGCACCAATCTGAAGCCAGGAGCCAGGCGCCTCCCCTTGCTCTCCCAGGTGGGTGCAGGGCCCAAGCACCTGGGCCATCCTCCACTGCCTTCCCGGGCCACAGCAGAGAGCTGGACTGGAAGAGGAGCAGCCGGGACAGAACCGGCGCCCCGACCGGGACAGAACCAGCGCCCTGACCGGGACTAGAACCCGGGGTGCCGGCACCACAGGCGGAGGATTAGCCAAGTGAGCCGCGGCACCGGCAGCTGCATAGAAATTTAAATTCATTATAGAGTCATACCTGTCAATCTTTCATAGTCCCCGGTTCTGCATCATGCTTGGTAGACCATTATTAACTCATTTCTTCCCCAGTACATTTAATGATTTAACCCTTTGGTGCTCCGGAAATTTATTTTGTTACAAAGAACAAGTTAAAGATTCAACTTAATTATTTTTTCCCTAGAGGATGTTCATTTATTGAATATTTAACCCACGACTTTGATAGCAACTTCTTTTTTTATTTTTTAAAATTGATTTATTTGAGAGACACACATAGAAATACAGAAGGAGAGTTCCCATCCACTGATTCACCCACAGGCCGGAGCCAGGAGCTGGGAACTCAGTCCAAGTCTCCCATGCGGGTGACAGGAACCAATTACGTGATCCGTCACCTGCTGCCTCCTCAGGTCTGCATTAGCAGGAGGATGGGGTCAGGGTCAGGGTCAGGGTCAGGTGCTGGGTATGTAACCCTGGCACCCTGATATGGGCTGAGGGTATCCTCACTGGCTTCTTAACTGCCAGGCCAAACAGCCACCCGTAGCTTTGTTTGTGACTTTGCACAGGAGGCCCGGGGGTGGGGGTGGGGGGGTCCAGGTGTGGCCCAGCCGGCCAGGTATCCTTGTCCCTCTGCGGATAGCTCCTGCTTCCCTTGCAGACAGGCCGGGGGCCAGTCCCGCGTTGCTGCCATCCTGAAGGTGCTGGAACTCTTGGCTGGGGAGGGCAGCCCCCGCCCTGCGGCTGCCGGGTGTGTGCCGCTCTGCCCAGGGCGCCTGGTGACCGGCGCCTCCCCTGCTAGGTGGTCTACTACGCCTTCGCCATCGTCGGGATGGAAGTGTTCCAGGGCAAAGTGCGGTTCTTTGACCCGAATTTCACGTCTCCTGACGCCCTGGTGTGTGGCAACCCGGCCTTGAGGGGCTCTGCGTTTGCCAGGGCCAGGTACTGCAAGAACAACTTCAACGACCTGGCGTCGGCCTTCCTGCTGCTGACGGAGCTCACCGTGGTGAACCAGTGGCACGATATCCTTCCCAAGGCCTGGGATTCCCGGCATTCCACTCACTGGGGCAGGGAAGGGGGGGGGGCGCCGAAAGGAGCTGCCGGAAGCTCCTCTGAGCTTGGGGCACCTGCTGCGTTTCTTGAAGGTCTGTTTCCTCAGCCTCGCACTCATAGCAGGCGGCTTCGCCCTCGCGACGCACCAGGCGGCAAAGCTGTACTTCATCTTCTTCCATGTCGTGGTGGTCATCCTCATCGTCAAGTGGGTTTTCCTCCTGCCACACGGGGTGCTGCCCATGTCCTTCATCTGAACACCCTTCCCCTGGCGCCTCCCCGGCCCAGGGCGGTGTGTGTGTGGGGGTGCACATCTCCTGCTCCCACTGCCTGCTGAGCCCCCCTGCAAGGGTCGAGTCTCGGGCTGGTCACGCTTGTGTCCACCTGTGTCCCCCATATCCGTACGCAGCGTGCATCTTAGAGTTGTTTGCAGGCGAGGGAGCCTGAGGTCCTGGCCAGTCTCCCGCCTTCCCCGCTGGGATTGGATCACCCGTGAGATTTCCCCGCTGAAAGTCGTCTGGCTGCTGGGCCCCATTAGAACCTGAGCCATGGCCGCCTTGCTGCCACAGGTGGAATGGGGGGGTGCTCCCCTCCCCCGCCCCGGTGAAGTCTCTTCATTGGTGCCAGGGTGATCCTGACCCTTTGTCCTTGGGAGAGCTCAGTAAATATTTGAAAGCTACTCTGGCACCTTGCTCCCCGCCACCCAAGTCTCTCCTTCCTGTGGAATCTTTGAGGCCAGCTCCATGGTTCCTGTGCCCTTCATTTGAGTCTCTGTGAACCGCGATTCTCCCCCACGAGGGACTTCCTGATGTTGTAAGTGCCCGCCGCAGAGCCTGGAACCTGTAGGTGACAGCTGAGCATCAGTGCCCACCTTGTCCCCTCAGACCGCTGTCCCCGGGTGGGAGAGGTGGACTCCGCGGCTGCCTCTGCTCCAGCCTGCGGGTCCTCCTCCCTCTGAGTGGGTGTGCAGTGGGGAGACAGAGCCATCCTCCCCGGGTGCTGGCAAAGGCCCATACACACTGTAGGGGTTTTTCTGCTCTCCCCAGAAGAGCCAGAGGGTGCTGTGACCGCCCCGGGTCCCACCATCATCGTGGTCAAGTCAGAAAGTGAGATTTCACCCTGTCTGCAAGCCAGCAGGCGGCTCTGCTGTTAACCTACACTAATAGGAAACACGAGGTCCTGGGACGGAGACAGGCAGCTTGCTCTCCACGGCAGGAGCAGCAGCCGGAGCGACACCGTGCGTGTTTCCCGCACCCCAATCCCCAGCCAGCCGTACGGCGAGGGGAAGATGCACGCAGCGGTGCAGGTCGGGAGCTCCGAAATTAGGAAACTCTGATTGCTTGCTTTATTAAACAAGATTTATTTTATTTACTTTAAAAAGGTAGAATGACAGAGATGGGGGTAGGGAGTGGGGAGAGAGAGAGAGAAGAGAGAGAGAAAGGGAGAGAGAGAGAGAGAGAGAGAGAGAGAGAGAGATCTTCCATTCTCTGGTTCACTTCCCAAATGGCCACAACAGCCAGGCAGGCTGGGTCCAGCTGAAGTCAGGAACCCAGAACTCCACTGGGTCTCCCACGTGGGTGGCAGGGGCACAAGCTCTTGGGCCATCCTCTGCTGCCAGCAGGGAGCTGGATCCAAAGCAGGGCAGCTGGGACTTGAACCTGCGCTCTGATATGCGATGTGGGCATTGCAGGCGGGGCTTAACGGGCTGCACCACAGTGGGCCTGCCCTTCCTGCCTTCTGAGTGGGTAGGGGAGGAGACAGACTGACTTTGGAAGGTAAGCAGATCTGGGCGGGGAAGGCGACAGATCCCCCTCGGCTGACACCAGCGTGTCAGACACCAGCACTGTTCCTGGAGAATTGCCTCCCACCAATGATTTGGCCGAGCGTCCCCTTCAGATCAAGTGTGTTTTCTTCCTAATATTCGCTGTTCCAGTGGGAGGTGGAGAATGAATGGCTTTCAGACGGCTCAAAGTCCCGTGCAGTGCTGAGAGCCGCCCTCCCTCCTGTGTCACCTGTTCCTGCCAGGAGGGGGCAGCCTTGCTCCTGGGGCTCCGCTCTGGGGGACCAGGAGCCGACTCTACCTGACCCGCTGTGCCCTTGCGCAGTATTTTCATAGCGTTCATCCTGGAAGCGTTCTTCGTGGCGTACTCTCTGGAGAAAAGCGAGCTAGAAACTGTGATTGAGAAGAAGATTCAAGAGCTGGGCGTGGGGATCCAAGAGTGAGTAGCCCGTTCCCCGATGGCTCTCACAACCTGGATGCGGGCCGCACCTGGGGCCCCTGCCCGGGGCTGTGTGCCTGCCTGCCATCAGGGTGCCCTGGCCGCGGCTGCACGACCACCCCTGGGCCATGCCTGGGAGGGCGGCACCCGGCAGAGGGCCCTGACCGCGCGTGTGTTGTGTCTTCCCCCTGGAAGGGAAGAAGAACAGGACAAGAAGCCCACCGATAACGTGGGTTCCAAGGACGGTGGCTCCAGTGGGGGTGACGGGGACCACGGAGGGGCGGCCGCGAAAGGACTATACTGCAGGATTGCATCAAACAGTGAGTGTCGCTCAGGGCCGGACTTGCAGTGACCCTCTGCCAACCCCCGGGTCTCGTGGCAGCCTGCGGGGTGCTTCCTGATTGTGGAGCTGATCATCAGTGGCTCCCCTTGCTCAAGGCTAAGGACAAGGCTTCCTCTCAGCCTTTCGTCCTTGCCACCATTCCAGCCTCCCAGCTCCTCTGCTGGGTCCTGCCCCCGGGCCTCTGTAGATGCTGTTTTCTCCTCTCGGCTCACTCCAGCAGCCCTTCCCACAGGAAGTGGCCCTGGCCTCCCCCGGGGAGGCAGGTGCCCCCGCGTGGCTCTCCTCCCTGTCCCTGCACATCCATCCTTGAGGGACTGACCCGGGCTCCCTTGCAGGCTCCAAGCTCCATACACGGGGAGCTGTGCCTTTTCAGTTCTCCATGGTCCCCCCAGGACGTGGCAGCGAGTGGGAGACACAAGGAGCCTTGGCAGCTCTCTCATTACGTGTTATTTGCAATTGCATTAATGACTGAGCACGGCTTGGGCGCTGCTGAGGGATGCAGCCGGCAGCAGGGGCCCTGTGGGCCGCAGCCCTTCCTCTGCAAGAAGCCTGTCTGGCTGGGAGCTCTTGGGAGTCGGCGCAGGGATGCGCGCGTGACTCTTTCCTGACCTGTGCCTCCTTCCTGTCAGAGTGTTCGGCCCGTGCCCTGCCCTGCCCCCGGGAGCCAGCCTGCTCCGCCCAGGCTGGGTGCTTCCCCGGGCCGGGCCGGAGCCCCCGCGGATTCCCCCCGCCCCTTTCCCGCTTCCTCCTAGAGTACAGGACCGTGGACGCCTTGCTGCAGCGCATGTTTGAGTCCGAGATCGCCCCCGACGAGGAAGGCCCCTCCCTGGACGAGATCCTGAGCTTCTCACCCAGTGACATGTACGTCAAGAATCCCAATTTTGAAAACAGCGCATGAGCCCGGGGTTGCGGGGGCCCCGGCTGGAAGCGGAGAGGAGCCGCCAGCCCTTCCCGCGTGTTGCAGCGTCTGGAGGGGCCTTCCCTGGCCCTGCTGCCTTCTGGGTCCTGGGGAGCCTGCGTGTCACCTGTGCGGGGCGGAAAGGCCGCCTCGGTGGGCAGTGCTGGGGACGTTCTTGGGTCTGATCGTGGCCCCCGGGAGAGGAAGAGTGAGGACGAGTTTGCTGGGGGCTTCTGGCCTGCACCTGCCTGGGCGTGTGTGCGGTCATCCCAGGGGGTTTATAAAAGCCTTCCATGTGTTTTATATATTTTTACCATGCTTTTAAACTGCCACTGTGCTGCAATGTTACATGAAGGAATTATGCATATTTAAATAAGGGAAGGTAAGAGGAGACACAGTGAGCATTCAGAATGAAGAACCATATGAATGTGAAAATATCACTGTCTCAGCTTCTTTTTCCGGGGTTGGACAGGTGCTCTCCGTGTAGGGCCTAGCAGTTACGATGCTGGAGTCCCACGCGGGAGCGCCTGGGTTTGACGCTCGGCTCCGCTGCTGACTCCAGCGTCCGGCTGATGGGGTCCCCGGGAGGCTGCAGCGAACGCTCAAGCAGTTGGGTCTCTGCCGCTGGTTTCAGTTCCTGACTTCTGGCTTCTGGCCTCTGCCCGGTCCATTCCTGTCCATTGCAAGCATTTGGGGAGTGAACCAGCAGATGGGAGCCCTCTCTCTGTGTTTCCACCTCTCAGATTGATTGATTTTAAAAAACACACATACTTGGCATTGGGCATCGGTGTTTTTTTTTTTTTTTTAAGATTTATTTATTTATTTTAAAGTCAGAGTTACACAGAGAGAGGAGCGAGAGAGGAAGGGAGGGAGGGAGAGGTCTTCCATCCACTGGTTCATCCTCCCCCCTACCCCCAATTGGCTGCGATGGCCAGAGCTGCGCTGATCCGAAACCAGGAGCCAGGAGCTTCTTCTGGGTCTCCCATACGGGTGCAGGGGCCCAAGGACTTGGGCCATCTTCCACTGCTCTCCCAGGCCATAGCAGAGAGCAGGATGGGAAGTAGAGCAGCCAGGGCTCGAACTGGCGCCCATATGGGGTGCCGGCACTGCAGGTGGGGGCTTTACCTGCTACACCACAGTGCTGGCCCCAGGGCATTGTTATTATGTGAGGATTCCCTGGAACTGGGGCCACGGTGACCAGTCGATGTGGTGTGTGCGGTCTGCCTGCCTTCCAGAATTCTCTCCTGTCTTCACATATGTAATATCCCTTATGTAAACTATTCTACATGTACTGAGTTGTAACCTAAGTTTTAAAATTTGATCTCTGTATTTGACATCTGTGCTTTCAAGTTAGTAGTTATAATGTGTAACCATCCAAGAAATTCCACGTAGAAAGAGTTGGACGTCGGAAGTTGCTCTTTATTTCTGCTTCTCCTCGCCCCTTCCCTCTCCTGCTCCTGTTAGTCTGATACCTTTTCCCAGTGGTAACAAGGGCTGAGCTTGCTCATCCTGCTGGGACGACGTCTCTTTATAGCCACGCCTATCATGTCTATTAAAATGTAATTGCATTTCTCATTTTCAATGGGATGTCATGATGTGTTTTATATTCATTGTTCAACAACCTGCTTTGTGCACTTCACAGTAATTGTTTCACATTGGTGTTGAGTATCCCATCCCAACATTTTATGATTTATGGGCTTATATTATGCTTCTTCTGTTCAACATTAGGCAGTAAAAGAATAAAACTTATGTACTCTGTCGTGAGTATGGAAGACTCAAAGCATGCTGTCCTCAAACTGCCAGTGGCCTTGTTGGGCCACTAGGGGGCACTCGCCCTAGCTGTTGCATATGGGCTGGGAGTAGAGCAGAGGAGCTGTGGCCGGCGTGGCTGCCTTTCTCCAGGTCTTTCTGCCTCTCTTGGCAGGGGCCTGGAGCACCAGCTAGGTCTTTCCATTCATGAAGTGGCAGCAGCGGAACACGGTGGAAGCCTTGTGCAAGGATGGCAGATTGGTACCCCACGGTGTGGCTACCCCAGGCTGTAACAGGAGGCAGCACCCACTCCCGTAGCCCTCTGGGACCAACTTAGCCTGCCACAGCCTAACCAGTCCAGAAATGCATGTTTGAAACTTTCTGGAATGGAAGCCATGAAACAGATGGGCTGGACTAGAGGGATGAGGAGGAGGTGGAGGACCAGGCACCTTGACTCCTAGGTCAGTGCAGAGGAAGGTGTGAGTGACAGCTTTTCAGATGTGTCTAGGTGTTGTACAAACATGCTAGCATTCTTGTTTCTAAGAGGCACCTGCCACACTTGAGCTTTTGCTATTAGAAATCTTGGGGAACACAATCTTAGAATCACTGCTGTGATGACAAATATCCTCCAGGAGTCTCTGAATGTCCCCACTGAGTGGCCTCTTTCCTGGCTGGAACTTGGAGTGGGGAGCAGGTGGCCAAGAGTGACTGGACAATGCCTCGGCCAAAGACAGGGATGTGAGCCAGTGGGGTGACTGTAGATCACTGTAACTTATTATAGATCCTATGACTAAACAAGAGGAGCTCGAAGACTCCAAACAGAAAGCAATGATAAAACAGTGGAAATGTGAATTACCCTTATTTGATCATTTGTGAATCATTTACTGAAATTTCACTGTATCCCATGTATAATTACTGTCATTCCCTTTTTAAAAATATTTAAGGCGATGGAAATGCTAACTGGATTTGGCCAACACGTACTGTATGTGTATCTCATTTTCACACTGTACCTGATAAATATCTATCATTAAAAAAATTTTAAAAATAGCTGAACCTAGCACTGAGTCTGGCCAACATTTGAGCGCTTAGGACGAGTGGGCCCGAGAGACAGAGATGACTAAGAGCCAGCTGCGTCCTTGAGGGGATGTTGGCCTCACTGGTGGAGCGAGCTGAAGCCCCTCTGTCCTTCCAGGTGTCCTTTAACACACAGCTGTGTCCCTCATGCAGGCAAACTCTGTAACCGGGACACTAAGTTAGGGCTACGTGAAGACCAGTACAGGTCACGCCAGGCGTCTGAATGCAAACAGACCCACCCGGCTCCAGTCAGTCACCCTGTGTAGCTTGAGCCATGAAGTCCAGATGCAGCCCCGGGCGTAATCATGGACCAGATGGGCCACAGCAGTGTGGGCGAGCTGTTGCTGACCTGGGGGGCTTCTGAGTGACCACAGGCCGGCAGTGGCGACACCCCCACGGGGACAGAAGCTGAAGCCACGTGCCGCCTCACCCAAGGCTGACCTACCCGCAGCTGCCTTTCACAGGTGAACACATTGAGTGAATACTGCTATTTTTAAAAGGCAAAAAAAAAAAAAATCACACAAATTGGCTTTATCGATGGCTCGACTGTTTAGTGTGTTGGTTTGTCTGATGAGGTCCCTGGGTCATTTTCTACTTCGAGGCTGCGTATTGGCCTGATTATGTAATGTGTTCCTTATTTTCAGAATAAAAACATTTTAGGATCTCATTTTAGTAATTTATCCTACACATGTTGCACCTGTGTTTTTTTTTTTTTTGACAGGCAGAGTGGATAGAGAGACAGAGAGAAAGGTCTTCCTTTGTAGTTGGTTCATTCTCCAATGGCCGCCACACCGCGCTGATCCAAAGGCAGAGGCCAGGTGCTTCTCCTGGTCTCCCATGGGGTGCAGGGCCCAAGGACTTGGGCCATCCTCCACTGCATTCCCGGGCCACAGCAGAGAGCTGGCCTGGAAGAGGGGCAACCGGGACAGAATCCGGCACCCCAACCTGGACTAGAACCCAGTATGCCGGTGCTGCAGGCGGATTAGCCTAGTAAGCCGCAGCGCTGGCCTCTCATTTGTTTTGTAGCAATAAAACTGTGAAGCAAACCAAGTGTTGCTGAGTAGGGGACTGGTTAAATCGATTATGGCACAAACAAGATGACAGACAGCTGGAGCAACACAGATGGAAAGGTGAGGAAACACCCCTAAAACCCTGTTGTAATTCACATTTGCTTGTAAACAGGCATCAGTAGACAATAGCATGATTAAAAAAGGCCATCTCAAGCCGGTGTCACTAAACTGGAGGATGAACCCTGGAGACGCTCACTGAAGCAAGACAAGGCTGCCCACCACCACCGCGACTTAACCCGCTTCTCGAGGTACCGGTGACGAGAGAGCACTCACAGAATTGGGAATGGCATAAAGCGAGCATCACTTTCAAAAGGATGGTTATTTGGAAATTTCAAAAGAATCAAATGAGAAGTTCTTAACAAATCCATAGGAACCATAGATTCAAACTACCAGCTAGAAAGATATAGGGGGAAAAAAAAGATGTAGTCTAAAATAGCCATCAAAATAATTTTTAAAAAAAAAACTATTTATTTGAGAAGTAGAGTTACTGACAGAGAGGTAGAGAGAGAGAGGTCTTCCATCAGTTGGTTCACTTCTCAAATAGCCACGATGGCCAGAGCTGTGCTGATCCAAAGCCAGGAGCCAGGAGCTCCTTCTGGGATCTTCCACGCGGGTGCAAGGCCCAAGGACTTGGGCCATCTTCCACTGCTTTCCCAGGCCATGGCAGAGACCTGGTTCAGAACAGGAGCAGCTGGGATTAGAACCGGCTCCCATATGGGACACCAGCGCTGGCCCCAAAATAGTTAACTATTTAAATTAGTACTAGTTTTAAAAAAGAACTTTTTCTTGTTTTTCCAAGATGGAAAACATTTTAAGACACACACAAAAATAATAAACCCAACTTTACAAATCACAGTACAAAGCAAAAAACTTAAAAAAAAATCCTCACAGTAGCAGAAATCCTACTAGTCAAAGTAAGATACAAATTGGGACAAATACTGATACACAAAGGACTTCTACAAATTAACAAAATGAAAGTTCATGGGAAAAGGGTGCATACATAGCTATTAATATGTAAATGATTGGCTGAATTCATGACAAAAATAAGACTGTATGGAGATAACTATGGTACTTCAAATAGTTTGTAGGAAAGGAATTGAAAACTAAGTTTATTTTGGTTTAAAAGTTTTTAAAATCCATGCCTACCTGGGAACTTCAAAAAGTACATGAAAATGTGTATTGTTGAAGAAGTATGCATGAATTGTAAAATTTTTTACCTTTTAATTCTACTTTCCATGAACTTCTGAAGTACCCTTGTATGTGTAGTTATATTCTCTGCCATACTTATGTGAAAAAAAATGTATTAGTTGTTTCAAAGATACAGTACACATAAACATTCATGGAGTAATTGTTGGAGATTCACAAAATGTGGGCTGTGGCTGCCTCCAGAATGGAGACATGCTGGCCGAGGGGAAGGCGGGAGGAAGCGACCCCTGGACACCTGAACTGTGCATTGCCGCGCACTTGTTTCCATCGGAACACTAAGGAGAGAAAGGAGGGAGAGGGAGAGGGAAATTATTTCAGGTGACAGGGCCCTTGTGGTGTGAAAAGTCAATACATGTTAAGTAGGCTGCTATAATTTTGGAGTTAATGATCTATAAGGAAGAATGTTCAAGACCTGAGATTTTAAAAAGGGAGGCTTAGGATTTGTTATAAACACTAAACGAGAAACAGGGCCGAGAAAGGGCAGGCAAGCTTTATTCATTAAAAGTCTGGATGTTTGGGGCTTTTTTTCAAAAATTTTGAAAAATTGTTTTGACCTCTTTTTGGCTTAAACAGGTCAGTATTTAAAAAGCAATTTCTAAAGAATGTTCACATGTGGGGGCCAGCGCTGTAGCATAGCCAGTAAAGCTGCCACCTGCAGTACCTGCATCCCATATGGGCGCCGGTTCAAGTCCCAGCTGCTCCACTTCCCATCCAGTTCTCTGCTATGGCCTGCGAAGGACCCCTGCACCCACATGGGAGACCCAGAAGCTCCTGGTTCCTGGCTTTGGATCGGCTCAGCTCTGGCCACTGCAGCCAAATGGGGAGTGAACCAGCGGATGAAGACCTCTCTCTCTCTCTGCCTCTCCTTCTGTGTAACTCTTTCAAATAAATAAATAAATAAATATTTTAAAAAAAGTTCACATGCAAATTATTTCCACAACTGTCTCCCCAAGAGTACCCAGGCAGCCTGCCTCACAGGGAGCTTAATCATTGTATATTTCACCGCGATATTTATAACAACTACATCACATGGATCCACTCTGTAGATTTTATTTTTAACAAACATTGACAAACAATAAACGTGGGGAAAAATGAAGGTTCAGGATGAGGCTGGCATTTACAAAGCGATCTATCTCTGTGGAGTGTCCGTGTCCACTTCTATTTCCTCGATCTCTTGTACTCCAGGAGCAGCACAATCAGCCTGTTGCGCTGCGTCCTGACCTTGCTCGCGTAGTGCTGCTGGAACAGCGTCCTCAGCTTCTGCCTCAGCAGCGCCAGAGACGGCAGGTGGTGGCAATCTGGTATATTCAGCATCAGGTGGAAGAATTCCTCCCACACCTCCAGGTGAGGAAGCCTGCGGGACAAAGCACCCACCACAGATGAAAGGTGGCCTCAGCACGCGCGGCAGCCCCTCCTCAGCTGCCTCCCAAGGCCTGGACAGTCACACACAGCTCTCACCCAAACGCAATTAACCCATCAAGAA